AACTGTTGTAGATGGCGCAAAAATCATTACCCCGTTTTGACCGCCAAGTTTCCCTACCCTGCACCGCTCTAACACCGTCCAACACCCCACCTGCGACGAATTGCCGCTGAGGTGGAAGGGGTGCAAGGCCGCAGCAGCGCATCCGTACATACTATGTACTCTCTGGGCGCACCACTTCACGGAAAGTATACTTGACTAAAGTGACTTCTGACTTCCCATCAACTGGGGTGAGGTTATCCAACGAGAGCTTCGTTACGATTTTTGGAAGGTGATCAAATCACGTCACAACGTTTGGCGGGAAAGTGTAGGGTGTGCGCCTGAGCGAAATTTAGTAAGTTGTTGACTGTATTGTGCGGTTTGTGCATCTTAACACATTTGTTATTTACAATGTTATTTGCTTACTTTAGGATTGTTTAGGTTTTAGCTGTGCATTTCGGTCACTAATTTCATTTAAATAAGCACTAATTATCAGACGTACATCACGTCACTTGATTTAAATTGGAAAAATTGGATTTAAAAAGCACTATACACGTCAAGTCCCTGTCTTTTTTTGAAAATGGTTGGAATGGTCATGACCTTAGCGATGGTACAATGGTGCTAATTTCTAATTAAATGAAATATATAAAACATTTGGATCCCTGTGCCCTTTAATTGGTTATGAAAAGTGCCAACGAATTTCGGGCTCCAGTGCTATTCGAGTAGAAGTGACTTCTATCGTATTTTTTATGAATAGTCGGCTTTTAAAATTTTAGTGGCTTATGTATATTATGATGTTGTATTTGTACACCGCGTTCAGGCAATGCAAGTAATAACAATTATTTATTGAAAGCTGCGTTCATTTGTGGGTTGTTTATATTATTGCAAAAATATACATACGTTTACACGTGAAACATCTAAGAATGACAGGAATTGTAAATTGCGAATTACGAAGATGAGCTTATCCTACTATTGACCAGTTCTAACTTTTCTTGCTTCAAAACAGAAATTTACTTTAGTCCTCTTTGTTCCGAGGGTGCTATAATTTTACATTCCTGATGTTTGGTAACAGTAGGGCATTAAAAAAGCTTACTCTGTCTCTCCTGGCCCCTTTTGCTCTAGTTCACTATCGGACATAACTTAGTTATCGTGAAAATACAACTTTATTTTAGAGAAAAAAGAACATCTCTCTGCGAGAGTGTACTGAGACAAAACAAAAACATTTTCAATGGTTAAAACACGACATGTGTCGATTTTCTCTTAAAACGTGATCATTTTTCGTTGGAGATTTTCCTCTGCCTATAATGGGTTTTGTTTTTTTAGGTATTCTTTCTGAGATATGTTCTTGTTTCTTTGAAATAAAGGTATTTTTACGATTTTCAGGTCGTAGACTGGGGTGGGAGAGACAGAGTAAGCTTTTTTAAAACTCTCAATTGTTCCCAGAAATCAGGATAGTAAAATAACAGCACCATCAGAACGAAGGGGACAAAAGTGGATTTTTGGAATTGAACTGAGAAAAGTTAGATGGTTATTTCAAGTCAATAGTGGTCATTTACAGGTACTACCCGTCTTTGTTATTCGCAGTTCAAACGTATAGACAGTTTCGTGTCATTCTCAGACGTTTGACCAGCAAATGTAGGTACAATTTTCACATGTTTGCATTATAAACAACCCAATAAAAATAGCATATCTCCCTTAATAAATAAGTTGTCATTTACGTGCATTGCCTGAACATGTTGAAAAACACACAGAAATTATATGTATGAGCAACTAAAAGTTTGTGGATCTTCAAGACTTTATTTGTGTAAAAGCTACGCCATCATCAAGTCTATTTGCGTAAAATCTAAGTTCAAGTAGCATTACATAGTTCACCAAATCAACTGTTTACTTCTGCCACTAGGGCTATCAAGATCAGAAGCAGTTCGTACTCAGGTTGCACAACCTCCAGATAATTGAGAAATATTTTATGTTAAAAATATAGATTCTCGTTTTAATAACACTCAATATTCCAGATATTGCAGCAATATCGATGCATGTGAAATAATTTTGAAACAAAGAGTGCCCAACTATCTCTCTCTCCAGCGTCTGTTGACCTCCCAGGTATTGCACCACGCTTTTGCCTCTTGCCTGCATTTATTCGTTACGTTTACTGCATTTACACTTTGGGCCTACGCTTTAAAGGCCCATTCACAATGCAAACATAAACATAAGCATGGTGTTAATATAAAAGTTAAATTATTGATGGTGTTCAATGCATTAGTTATGATGTTTCGAGAATTCATTTTCTTTTGATGTTAGGTTTTTGATTCAAAATCTACATTTTGTATGTACAAATGTACACGGACTCATGTCCGTTGTGTAAAGTTGGCCATTCTGGGATAAAAAGTCCCTTTCTGTCTCTCACGGAGGGTTCGTATGTTTGGTTGTAGTTACTGTTGAGTTACAGTCCAGGGGCTCCTAGCTTCATAGGGCTGGGCCTGGCCTGCGTTTTCCGCAAAGTTTAGTTGGGATTCGGTTGGGCATTACCGCTGAGGAGGGCCCTGCAGTCCGAGTGTTAGAAGAGAAAGCGGAATATTAAAACAGAGAAAGAGAATTTCAGAATGACACGAATGCACCGGAGAATAAACGAAGTGTTACCGAAAGACATCGATGTCCGCGGAGGGACAAAGATGTTTTTGCAGGACACACGTTTCCTACTTTTGTCGTTCAGCATTTTGTTTTGGTCCCAGCTTGCTGTCTTGAGACTGTGACTTCGGGCGAACACTTTTCACACATCAATTTTTTTGTAAGAGGTAAGACTTCGGTGTTATCTTAAATTATATTCTTATTAACATCAATTATTAACAGTTACTACAAATACGAAAATCTCGTACATTAATTATATACCATGTAGAGCGCAAAGATGTCCTTGTTGTTTTGTTTCCAGACGCTCTTACCTGTTGCGTATGTCACAACTTAAATCATTAGAAAAACGATTGCGCAAGAATCTCGTTCACCAAGATTCCTTCGAAAAAGAACGAGGCCTTCTTGGTCTGCAAAAATGGACCGGGAATTTGGCAGAGATCGAGATGGCGAACACAGGATGCCGTGACAGGCATTTATGCAGTGGCATTTTCTAGGGCTGAAGATTTCATTGCTATTGGGCCCACAAAGGAGACTGGGCGATGTTGTGAGTTTCATTGTTTACGTGGAGTATATTTTCATTTAACCTCTATCTAAAATACAGATAATCACAGGTTACAAATGAACAAAATTGTAGCTATTTTGGATGTACTCCAAATGCGCTGCCATCGTCATTCGTGCTTGTGAAACCACATCAACATTTGGCTTGAATTTCTTTCACTAGAGATGCAATATTAAAAATCGTTGATTTATTTATAGGCAATTCCTGCAAGATCGGCTACAGCAATGGAATCCCATTCTACAACATAGTCCCACAATATCAAAGGTAACCTATTTGAAGTGTGATATGTTTTGTATATTTTTTTAAAATTCAAAATTAATTTTTAATTCTCACTGCTGCCAACAGTTCTTCGCTGATCCCGCCTGTGCCTCGTTCTCGACAGTGAGGAAGGAGATTTGTAGCATCCAGTACCATCAGGGAAATGGGCCACTTCTCCCTGCTGAAGTCACAACACCATTGGGAAATCGGAAACGCTTGCCTCGATCCTTCAGAAGAACCATCAAACCCCAAGCTCTGCAGTCTCGCTTACAAAGTGGTGGAAATATCCTTACTACCTGCTTTTGACCCTGGAGCTAATTTATTTGTTCTCTTAGTTATAACTTGCTCTACGCCGCATGGTATTTTATGCTGGTTTTAATAGAGAAATGTTGCATCATTTTGTAAAAAAATGCAGTCAAATGTTACATTTACAACAGAAATACAAAGTCCATAGGTTTAGCTTCATTTGGGTTCTGTGCTTGAGATAGCTGAGATAGATGATGATTTTAAGAGAAAAGTTGCTTGTTATTGAGAAACACTTTTTTAAAGGCTCCAGGGTATTTTTAAATCTATTTGCTGAGAACCTGACAAATTTTCCCCTTCTGAAACAATTTATGGTTTGTTTCAAATTTGTCTGGTGGCGTTAGTTTCATCTTGTTTTGTCTTTTCTGTGTATTGTCTTCGATATAGAAGTGGTACACAAAGCCCTGGATATAAGGTTGCACCTTCTAGTGGTAGTTGCACTTTAACACACTGCGCACATAAATTGGATGTTATTCTTCATCTCCTTTTGTAGGGTGCAAATAATGAGATGTTTCACTTTGCAGTAATCAACCTCAATATTAACTTTAGTTATAAATTTACATTACTTCTGCCATTTAATATAATTTATTTAATAAATGTATAATTGGCATTTAATGATAATGCAACAATTACTCATCCTCAGCTCCCACTTTACTCGTCTGAAGCAAATTACAACTTGGCATTCCTCTTTGGATTTGCTTGGAATGGAATTTGAATAATGAAGAAGAAGAACACAGTAGTTTAAAAATGTTTTCAAAATTTTACCTTAAATTTTCAGACTTAGTTTCTTTGGAAACTCCCAATTCCAATAAACAATGAAATAGGAAATTATTCGTGGCAACAATCATTCAAATCTAGACTTTTAAATCTTATAAATAAATTAATCAAGAATAATTTTTGTGGTAAAATAATTTGGGAAAATATATGTGAAAAGAAGAATAGACTCATGTTAGCGAAACTAAAAGGTAGCTTCATTCCAAACTCTTAATCGTTTTAGATATTACATCCTATTGCATTTGTGTAATACAACCAAGCTTACTGACGATTCTAAAAATATGGTGCATATGAAAAAGATTATTCCATTTTTCAAATTTGTACAGTGGTAATTAAACTTATATTCTTTTTAAAGAATTGTTTTGTTTTACATCTGCTCTTTCCATTAATGTTTTAGTGGATGTCACTCTTATTAAAGAGAATTTCAGGGATAGTATTGAAACCATGGCTTAAGATGTAACATTAATTTGCTATTGCTAAGCAGTGATATAGAGATGCTGGCTTTTTGATTGACTATGTAATGTCATTGACAGTCAAAGTTTGTTCGGATGATAGTAAATTAATGATCATTTATTAATTTTTGGAAATCAAATATTGTCATGTTCAAAACCCTAGTTTATTTTTTATTGGCACAATTTCATAAGTAAAACTATCTTTGCAATGCTGGGAATTACAATACAGTTAAACATAATATGGAATATCATACTAATACAATTTTTGATATCTACAGCAGCAGTTTTATTCCCTCAGTAGTTTGTAATAGCAAGTGGATTTGTAATCACTTATACTGATTGGATGAAAGAGATCTCTCTCTCCAGAGCACTCGACAGATAAAGTCATTTTCATAATAGATTTTATTGTTGATTTAATTGAAGTAACTAACATGATTGTTTTTCGTGAAATTTATGTTTTTGCTATTACTTCAAATCCAATATTATATCAAATTGTATTACTTGAGATTTGTATTACTATTTGCTAGAAAACTTTACAATTGTTTTTCCGATTAATATTTTAATAAATCTGTCATTTCATTTCATTATTGAGATTGTTTGTTATCACTGGTACTTCTATTGCCATTATATATCTCCTACCCATTTCCTACTGAATCCTAGAATTGATATTAAATTACTCTAAAGGACATGTACAAGAAAAATACTGTGGGCATCTAACTTGGTGTGAAATATTACCCCCACCATGGTACGGTCCCCCACCAC